GCAACCAGAGTCATGGCGGGGACTAAACACAGCTCCCGCATGCCGCCCGTGTCACGAAATAAGCAGACACCCGTCTGCCTTTGCTTAGAGAGCTGCCGCCGGGCAGAAAATTACCTTTCCCAGAAGGCAGCGGCGCGGCAAGCAACGTATGATCAGTGGGGTGGGGTCGGGGTGAGGTGACTAAGCCTCAGTCACTGAGGGAACTTCTGACTGGAGGTCCATGCAGTCCAACCTGGCGACGAGAGAGGTGGCTCCCTGGCGGGGATCCCACAAAACTGGACGGCATCCAGGACAGCTGCAGCCTGCAGGTGTTGAGACTGTGACAGTACCGAGTGTTTTTTTGGGGGGAGAAAAAAATATGACTGTCCTTATTTTTGGGGAAACCCAGGGTGTGTGTGTGTGTGTGTATGTGTGTGTATGTGTGTGTATGTGTTGTGTGTGTGTGTATGTGTGTGTATGTGTGTGTATGTGTGTGTATGTGTGTGTATGTGTGTGTATGTGTGTGTATGTGTGTGTATGTGTGTGTGTGTGTGTGTGTATATATATATATCAGTGGGAACATGTAACAAATATAAAGTAGGTGTTATCACGACTTGGTTTGCAGTAGAAATACACTTTAAGCTGAATGAATGCACTCACCTTGCTCACTGCATTGGACATCATTAGACATGCAATCATGAGTTTGCAGATATAGCACCCTCATACAAGTCACACTTGTCTGCACAAACCCGGCTTGACCTTATGTAAATGTTGTACTAACCAGTTATGCAAATACATTTTTTTTTTTTAACCTTTTTATGTGTTTCTCTGTAATGTTCAAAGAGGGCAAAAACAAAAGCTTTCCTGGATTAAGGCAGGAACTTTAAATTGTGGGAATTACATTTTGTAATGATCACATCCATGTAGTAGACTTTGCTAATTGCGGGATAAATATTTTGGGTTGCACTAATTCATTAAAATTGAAAGTTACTTGCAATTTTTGCTACTTTTTATTCCTAATGATAACCAAAAAAGTAAAACTACATGACTTCAGACTGGCTACCAAATGAAAGTTCTATCCAAAAAAAAAAAGGGTGAAGGTGGCGAAACATCTCTGAAATCAACAAAAATGCTGTGATCTAGATATGGGATGGCCTTGGATTACATTAGGAAAAACAACTCTACTATGTATTCTTATTACAATGCTGATGTTATGGAAGGAGAGTATATGCTGAGACTTTACAACTCCTTTTAATATACAGAATGATCCAACAGGTGGAGCTGGTTTGAGGGGAGCAGGAGTGTCAAAATTCATTTATTCTTGCTTTTTATCGCTATAAAAAAAAGCTTTAAAGCAACTCTACCTTTTAAAAAGATTTGTGAGGAAGGATGTTTTAGGGCACAGTCACACAATATCCAGTGCAGTTTGAGCCTGGGACGCACTGGATCGCATCGATTAAGCCGGGCATCGTTCTGGGGCGGGAGGGGTTGTCTGTGCCATTCATGTCAATGGCACCGTGGATGTGCCCCCCCCCACAGTGTGATTGGCCACTCTAGAAGGTACAGGTACATGAGGTACAGGAATGTCCTCAGTTCCGGTGCAATGCGATTGGAAAAAATGCTGCATGAACTATTTTTTCCGATCATCGCAAAAAATAATGCATGCATTGCTGTACCACATGTACTGGTGCGGGCGATCACACTGTGGGCGGTAGGAGTGTCTGCGGTGCCATTGACATGATCAGCACCAACACGCTCCCCGGCTTGATCTATGTGATCCGCTGCGTTCTGGGCTCGAACCGCACTGGAATGCAATGGCTATGGTGTGACTGGGCCCTTAGGGCTTGTTCACACCATGTTCATGGAGCTGGATTTTCCTACACTCCACCTTACGTGTATGGTGTGAACAGGGTACATGGAAAACAATTGTTTTCTATATGCTCTGCTCACACCATACATGTGCTTGAGTCTAGAAATACATAGCTCAGTGGACATGGCATTAAATAAGCCCGAAAACATCCTTCCTCTTAAAGAAGACTACTTACCTCTCTGATGGGCTGTCTTCAGGAGCTATGACCTCTGGTAGAATCCGGCACTTCCAGAGTGGGCAGATGCCTGCATCTCCTGCTATGCACTCTGGTCCCACCCGCTGGTGCTACATCATTACAAGACACAGTAGTGTTGTAGGTGCTGGTAGAGAGTGACGCCACTAAGAACCAGTACATTACAGGAAGTTAGACATGCAGACGAGGAGTGCCCGCCTCTTCTGGGTCTGGTACTGTGCAGGCAGTTGGCTTGTAACCCTATACGTACCGTACACTTTTTGTCTTCACCCTGTTACAATGCTGAAACGCAAATCTGATGCAAGTGCTGCTAATACAGTAAAGAAAAGAAAAAGAAGATAAAGTAGAGACCAGAGAGCGGTGAAACTCCCTCTATTGGCAGAGCATTTGGTTACAGTTGGTCAAAAATCGCAATTTTAAAAGATAAGGTAAAATAATGGCGCGTGTGGAAGGTTATACCCTAATGAATTTCTTATGACAACCCAAAATGTTCATAATCTAATTGTCACGGACTGAAAGTGAGGTGAAATCTTCTGTACATGGACACAGACTGCAAAACAAGTGTTACAGGTGGTTAACCCTTCCCTATGCTATCCAAAACTAAAACAATTTACCTATGTATGAATGCATACAAATTCAACTTAAGAACAAACCTACAGATCCTATCTTGTTTGTAACCCGGGGACTGTGTGTATTACATACAGTAAAACAATTTGTTTACCGGATAGAAGGACTAAAATGTGTCTAAAGGTTAGCAGGAAAACAGGTTGTAATGCTTTTAGAGCTCATGTACACCCGGAATCAACTTCCATAAAGTTCTAGCAGTAAAGGTAACACAAACATACTACACTGAACACAAAGCAATAAAATCAGCAGTGTGTGATGACAAAGTCTATCAAATATATAAACTGTCAAGACCTGACAAAAAGCCATTGGTCCTGGAACATATTTGAATTGAGTTTTCCTCATGAAAAATCTTTGACTGTCCTGTTCAGCTCTTTGAAAAACTAATTCTTCAAACACTCAGAAAACTGCATCTTCTTTATTATCTGCAAGCCCATGGGATAGTCAAATGACAGATAATAGCCTTATATCCAGAGACCTCTGAGATTCTGATATCCCGTCTATTTTAATAGTGTTTTGAACAGTGGGATGGAGTCTCATTTTGAAAGCATAATTAAAGGAGAACTATGGGGTTAAGGCTTTTCCCCAGAGTTCTCCTTAGGGAAACGGGAGGACACAAACTAGCATCCTCCCGTTACCCTAAGCTCAGTATACTGCGAGCTGTATACTGAGATGCCGCAGTATACCGCGAGCAGCTGCTCGCGGTATATTGAGATGCTGAAGCGGATCCCGACAATTGTGTCGGGATCCGCCCAGCTGCGTGAGTGACAGCTGGCTCTGCCTATCTAGAGGCAGAGCCAGCTGTACCCGCCTCCTCCCCCGTCCGTTCCGCCAGTCAGCGCTGGCGGAGCGGGGAGGGGGGAATCCAGCCCTTCCCCTGTCACGGCAGAGAGGCGAGCGAACCTGGTATGTGTTCGCTCACCTCTCGATCTACTGAGCCGACCTGTGACAGTCTCATTGTCACAGGTCGGCTAGAACTATGAGGTGAGTGAAAAGCACTCACCTCATAGTTCTCCTTTTAAAGATCCTTGTGCTGTGGCATTGAGAAGTCTTCCCAATACACTTGAATGGGGACATGTTCAGCATGAGCGGACTGAAATTAATCGAGAAGTCTGGTATGTAGACCACTATTGCAGCAACAACAACAGAACCTACGTTAATACATGTTGGATTCATATCTCTCTGTTATCCAACTTTTTATATTGTCATTGATTTTTGAACACCATATCAATTATTTACATTTGCATGCTCGTGATTGTCTCCTATTTTTATGAAACAAATGAGCTCATACATTTCTGATTTGTTTTTGCAATATTGGTCAACACTATTTTGTTACACTGATGCATCATTTACAGGACCAGATATGTTATTTCGATCAGGATAATGAAATGAAATTAAAGGAGAACTATGGGGTCAGGGCTTTTCCCCATAGCTCTCCTTAGGGTAACGGGAGGACACAAACTAGCGTCCTCCCGTCACCCTAGGCTCAGTATACTGAGACGCCGCAGCTTAATCGGATCCCGACAATTGTGCCGGGATCCGCCCAGCTGCATGACTGACAGCTGGCTCTGCCTATTTAGAGGCAGAGCCAGCTGTACCCTCCCCCATCCGTTCCGCCAGTCAGCGCTGGCGGAGCGGGGAGGGGGGAATCCAGCCACTCCCCTGTCACGGCAGAGAGCCGTGACAGGATCGAGAGGTGAGCGAACGCCGGTATGTGTTCGCTCACCTCCCGATCTACTGAGCCGACCTGTGACAGTCTCATTGTCACAGGTCGGCTAGAACTATAAGGTTAGTGAAGAGCACTCACCTCATAGTTCTCCTTTAAAGCAGACTTCTAGTAACTTTTCAAGTCTGTATAAAAAAAATTCCAGACAAGTCACAATATACAGCAACAGTATCATTTTATTTTTTTAAATAAAAAGCTCTACCTGTCATGTCAAGTGACTTTGCCTAGACTGAGCTACGTAATAAAGAGATCACAGTACATCCCTTGTTTAATGCCTTTGTCTTTCTCTCTTCACAGGAGACTGGCACCATCTTTGTGCAGTTATCATGCAGGGTCCGCATTTACCTCCTGACATAATCATGTAAATCCTGATTAGCTGCAGCTTTTTTTAAACCGTTTACAATTGCTATATATTGTGACATGTTAGGCACAGTCAGACCTGTGTTCATAGACTGCTGCATTTTTTTATGCACATCTTATCTTTTTTCTTTATATGTCCTATAAAACAAAAATTAATTAACAACAAAATAAGCTAACAGTATGAATATTGGTTTGTTTATAAACGCATGTACTTCCATTCCTATCATTTTAATAAATATATATATACATGTACGTACAAGTGTATAAATAACGGAAAATTGTATCATACTTATCCTGTAATTTTCCTTTCCTGGTGCTTATTATGGCAGCATATTAATGATATGCTGCCATGATAGGCACTGGGAAAATGGAAAGTTATATCATACTTGCCTGTAATTTTCCTTTCCTGATGCTTATCATGGCAAAATATCATTAGTATGCTGCCATGTAGGCACCATGAAATGTATAGATATACAGTAAATTCCCCGTTATCTGGCTCCTTGGGGATTGGAAGATTCCAGATAAATCTAGTTCTACTATTAAAATGTGTTTAACTAATGCTATACCACATCCTATACCAGTGGTGGCGAACCTTGGCACTCCAGCTGTTCCAAAACTACAAATCCCAACATGCACCTGCCTCTGGGAGTTATGTCTGTGGCTGTCAGAGCCTTGCAATGCCTCATGAGACTTGTAGTTCCAAAACAGCTGGAGTGCCAAGGTTCGCCACCACTGTCCTATACCATACCATACCATAATAGTATATTGTAATCTAAATCATTAGCAATACATTGCAGTCCTGGGAGTGACCACTAGGTGGCTCTTGTTCATAGGATAACACAGCACTTTCACAAACGATCGATCAGACACCCATTTCCAGGATCATTCCGACACTCATTCTTAGGATAATCCAGCATTTTGCAGCCCATTCCTGTACCTTTTCTATCCTCCCGCTGTCCCTCTCCTAGGAAGGTGGCAGAATAGTGAGTACACAGGGGTTTTTTTTTTTTTGCCGGTTAAATGGGAGTTTCGGTTAGCTAAATACCAGATAACAGAGTTTACCGCAGATATACTGTATATTACTATACTCAGATTTAATAAAGAGTCCTATGGTTTAATCAACTGCCCAGTATTAAAACTTTCTAGAGCAGTATTGTAACCTAAAAGGGCATCACTCAGCTGTAGATCCTCAAATCATCTCTGAATTGGTTCTGACACTGTCCTTCCTTCTGGAGGGGGGCTACTTTTGTTCCCCATGGTCCCTGTGTGTGTGTTGTAAAGTAGCCACCACTCTTGCTGCGGCAATAGACTACAGTCTCAATAAAAATGAGAAAACTAAATGTAAGATTGTAGCCAATCATGGGAGCCAGCTTGGGGCGGTAAATTCCCTCCAAAAATATTTCTTCTCAATAACTGTCAGCTTGTAGTGTTGGTTTTGCCCTTTGGCTTATTCTAGCAGGTTCTTTAGATTTCCCGGGATCCACAACTGGTAATTAAACTATAAGCACGCCACATCCAGCTGAAATACGTGAGGAATCTTGGATGTGCTTCTCTTTCCAGCCCTACCGGATATAAAATAACAGGACACAACAACTATTCTGTTCACATTACAAGGTAGAAAGGTACTTTTATTGTTCATCATGTATTGCGGCATATAAAAAAAAATTGCATTTCAGAAGCATTCATTTCGATTTCTTATAAGTGGCACATGTTATTTGCTGTCAAGATGAATATACAGTTTACAGCAGAACATCTTGGTAGAAAATCAATTACTTTTCACAACAGCATACTATTAGATTTAAAGAATGGGAGCTTTTTCAGCTCTATGTTTCTTCCAAACAAACACCCAAGTAGGAAGGTTTAAATTCCTATTACTTATTCACACAGCCCATTCACACCTCTGCACTTGTAACTGCACCTAACATGCATGGAACATTCATCTATGTGTTTTTAAAAATGATCTTTGTTGCATTTTGCATTCAAATCCATGCATTATGTGTGAGTTTTAATGCACAGAGCTGCACACAAGACCCCCCGCTTTCTTTCCATAAAACATGTAATGAAAAAAATTTACACAACAGATGAAAGCATTAGATAACAAGCAGTATGTGAATGGGCCCTCTTCAGAGAACACCTTTTAAAAGTACAGTCTGAAGCCCAGCAACTTTAGGATATCACCCTCCCTTCGAGTGGCAATTAGCAGTGCAGCAGCAAGACAGTGTGTGCTGGTACATGATACTATAGTGTGCACATGGAATACCTTATTTTATATCAAGAAGAATATAAAGACTCTGTCATAGAACTAACAATAGTTGGACTTCATTTTCTTATGCAATAGTGAAAAACATCCTGGTCACCTATATACTGTACATTAGCTCTTTCTAGATCAGTGGTAGGCAACCTTGGCGCTCCAATCGTCATGAAACTACAAATCCCATGCCTCTGGGAGTCGAGTCTGTTGCTGTCACAGTCTTGCAATGACTTATGTGAATTGTAGTTCCTCAACAGCTGGAGTGCTGAGGCTGCCTACCCCTGGTCTAGATGGACCAACACTTTTAGCGTCCATTGACTAGGAATTAGTGATGTTTCTGAAGTTGGAGATGTTTTGTTCCTCAAGCCTCAGTGTGATTATTAAGCCCAAAAGAAGAAGAATTGCTATACAGGGTTAGATCACCAAGTACTGATCTGAATTATGGATAGATGCTGGTATATTCAATCCCTCAATGCATTTTGGAGGCCCCAGTGGTGAGAACTGTCCACTGCAGTTCCAGTTTCTGCTTACCAACTGTAATGTCTTACTCCAGCAACAGAAGTCTCCATCCTTCTGCTGCAGGCTCTAAAATACAACATTAGAGAGGAGAAGAGTGAGTCCCCTAATGATAGAAAAATGGAGCTGAGAAACCCAGAGACACCAAGAGCAAGCTAATAAGAGATTTAAGACAGTGACATCTATCCAGAACTAAAAATCTGAAAAGAAATGAGGTATAAATAAATGTTTTACTTGCCTGTTCATGCTGCATTTCTGGTATTTTATAACTGTGTCATTATAAAACTGTTCACACCCACTGTTCTGGATTCAATGCATTGAAATATGGATGTATGTTATCTGCAAAATGACAACCCTAAGCAGTCACCTCATGTTCAGAGCAACCCCAATCAAATATTTTCTCCTCAATCTCCACCCTCACCAACTCCTATCGTGGTCTATTACCAGTCATGAATCAAGGCTCAAATGTGTTGTTAGTAATATAAAGTTTTTGGAGATGTGTGTGTACTACTGACCTGTACAAACTGTCTTCTTTGTTGTGACTGACAACTAAACTGTGGGCCATTGTAACAGGAAATGTATTTCTGAACAAACATTAGTGCGTGTCTACTAGTGTGATAAAATTAGGATTTCAATCACAAACGTTAGAGTTCTTCATCGTCATCTTCAGTAAGTTTTGCCAACTCTGCTTTATCCCCAGCCAGTTGATAGTCATCTCTTCCTGGTCTGCTACCCCAACGTTTGTGCAGAATACTTGCTAGCCAGAAGAGAAGGGACACTAGCCCTGCATTCAAGATTAGGTGCCAGCAGTAGAACGTGGTGAGAAACATGAGGTTAGCAGGGTCTGATGAGTCCCAAAAATGTCCTGTTGGAGGCCGGTACAAGATAAAGGCAGCATGAAACAACCAAGTTCCTTGTATATTCACTAACCATGCCTTGGTAAACCAGAGCTTACGATGGTTTGGATGCCAGATCTCAAAAATCATTATGGCACAATTTATGCCACAAGTGATCAGTAGCAGTTGATGGACTTGCACTTCCACTGCTTCTTTGCCATGACCATGGAACTTTAGTAAGAGGGTCGTGATGAAGAAAGCAGCAGTGACTCCTACATGCTCAAGCAGTGGATTACGCTTCTGTAGACAGGATTGACTTATTATGTCCAGGATCCCACTTAGAAAGAAAGTTCCATACATGGTGGCATGCTGCCACTCACTGGGGTGCTGAAAGTGATATTCAGGGTCATCTGAGCGAAAGAACCGTAGCTTCTGTACTCCTGGAGGAAAGAAGAACTCCGCTAAAACAGCCATAAAAGAATAAACTAGCTTCATCACTGCCTCTGCGGGCAAAGTCTTCCAAAACTTTTGTTTAGTTTTGGTGCGGGGGGCATACTGAACCTTGCATCCATTCAGGACCATCCAGGAGTAACGAATAGCATACAGTAAACCAAAAGACAGGAATGCCAGCCCAGGAGAAATATGTCCAATAAAAGTGCCCATGGTGAGAATGGGTCACCAAGGTTGATTCAGAAGAAAGAGAAGAGGCTGTAATGCAAAGTTTTTAGCCTCTGCTTTATCCAATGGATAAGTCTGCTGTTAACTCTCGGTTACACAAGTGTACTCTCTGCTCTGTGCAGCAGAATGAGTTTTAGTCTTCTAGTCAGATGTCACTTGAGTTTGAAGTATTTACTAGATTAAAGGTATTCTGAGTTTATTAGTAGGATGTTCAGCAGGTTTCCTTGGTTGACAGGTCAAATGAGTTGATAAATGTCAATCAGATGTCCATAGAAGGGGAAAGAATTCACGCCTTGTCACTCCAAGATACACAGCATCCGGTCTCCCTGGCATACAGCAGTCTTGTATATTTTCACTTGTGTCACTGTATTCCTTTACTTGTCTTCAAGTTGCTCTGTAAATTCTTTTGGATGGAATGAATTTCCAGCTAACCAATATAGAGCCATCTGCTGGGTTACTATACAAGCCAGTGTTTCAAGTAGGACAGAGAAGAAGAGAACTCACGCTGTTCATACCGTGCTGAGCAGTATCCTATAGATGGTGATGTAAATGTCACTCACACAAAGCAGAGAGAAACATCTCCGATTGACAGGAGCCTGCAAAGCAACTCAGATATAAATACCTGTGACTTATGAACACACCCCACAAGGTGGTACAAGCTCTCTTGCACCAGCATAACTTCTGAAGGGTGTGTGATGTAGAAAGAATAATGCTAAGTGCTGGTGATGTAAAAAGAGGATGGAAAGGAATTCAAGAATGGGAAGGGTGCAGAGCAAGGTGGGGAGGTAAAGAATAGTGCCGGTGATGTTAAAAGTGAAAGAAGATGGAAAGGAATTCAAGAATGGGTAGGCTGCAGAGCAAGGTGGGGAATTAAAACAAACGTTTTAGCAAATAGGATAAACTAACACAGCCAGACAGCAGAATGGCTGTCACTTTGGAATCTTACACCTTCCTTTGTACAGATGTATTTGAACAGGTATTTCTATATATAAAATATGTAAATTTCAAGTTCATTTTTAGGCAAAACTTGTTTTTTTTTTGGGGGGGGGGGGATTATGTGTTGGATCCTCTATCAGGCTGTTATTGCTGTGTCCCCCACTGGGGAGATTTACCTTCTCTATCTATCCTGGGGACAATTGTCACTGGAACTAGTGGTGTATTTTGGTTTTGTGCTGCCCTAGGCAAGACTAAACTTGGGCACTCCCCAATCAAAATTTGCCTCACCCCTTCCTGTTTAAGACATTTTGCATAACCGGTCAGTGCCTGTTTACAGCGTGCACGATGTATGCAGCTTCTGAGAGGTTGCGCTATTAGCAATGCAAAATACCACCAGCTATAGAGGACTAGAAATCCCGCCAATACATTATACAGCAATGCAGAATAATATGATGCTACATACTTTGTGTTGCTCTGGGGTGGCGGTCTGATGTCTCCAGGGTCTCAGGTGGGCTATGCATGAATAGATGAATGGACACCGGCACTCCAAAGGCAAATCAAGTAATCTATTTATTGACGTACATGCATAGCAAAATACACTCAGTGCAACATTTCGGGGTCACACAGGATCCCCTTCATCAGGCAGAAACAAGTGATACAGATACAAGTAAAACACCTCAATATATACACACCAATAAGTGATAACAGACCTATCCCAATACATAGTTACATAGTATTTGGGGTTGAATAAAGACATACGTCCATCAAGTCCAACCCATATAGGTCCACGCATCATCTCATTCTTAGGGATACTGGTATCCCTGGATATTACGGTCCCTCAAGAAATTGTCCAAACGTTTCTTGAACAAATCTACACTCTTGGCTGAAATCACTGCCGATGGCAGTGAGTTCCAGACCTTAACCGCTCTTACTGTAATACAATAATACCTGCTGTACCTTGTGATGTCATAATGACGTCATAATCCTGCCGTAATTTGAATAAACGCAATACAGTATGCCGTTAGACAGTGTTGGGGGAGTGGTCTGCTGCTGTACAGAGTGCCCAGCCAGTCTCTAGTCACGCCCTAATCTGTGTGTCAACATGTGGGGGAGCCGCACGCGTCGGAATGACGTGGTCTCGGTCACACCCCATAGTATCGTCAGGGGGAAGACAGCACCTTGTTCCCGCATAGGACGCACGCAGCAAAGAGGTGTGGAATCGGCCACATCACAGGTTGACATAGCCACATCGGGACGCTAGTTGACGGGGGCTGGCAGTATCGGACAGCAAGGTGGAGTCACCACCCAGGGAAGAAATGGGCCATGACATTTGCAATATGCATCATATTAAGCAAACTATGCATCAAGTAAAACAAAATAGTAATACATATATATATGAAAGCAATCGGCAAACAGTATTGTTTAGATATTAGTTGCCTATTTATACATCATGTGCAATTTATGAAGCAAGGAATGCATGGAATCATAATGTAGGATATTATAGATACTACCAATAGTGACAAATCGATTGATCCATGTATGACTGGACTGGTATGTATGGTGCAAGATATCAAGTCACTCCCAAAGCTAATGAAAAGACCCGGGATTAATGGGTCTATGAGGTAGGTTATTGCAAGTTAAAAAATATGCAATGAAAAAAAATTAAAATGAAATATGATTGATAATAATGATAATAATAATAATAATAAATGCATGAGCAGCATTAGCAGTGGGCTGGACGCCATCCGTAGCCAGCGGGCTATAAGATGTAAACAATGCAAAACTTGGCAGATAGAGGAAGTTAAATGTCAATATGCAAAATTACATATAGATGTACAAGAAACGCAAGATACCAAGATGGATGCATGGGCAGTGTGAAGCAAAAGAGAGAGATGAAACATAAAATGAAATCAAAGCAAGATCTGTAAATAAGAGTGATAACGCATGTGTCGCAATGTGACATATGGTAGCCAGAATAAACATAGTACATGTTATAGAAAATAGGTTAGGTATTTATGTTTCTCACTATGAAGGTCTATGTAATGCCGCTGTAAATGTATGTGGGTGCCAACCAAGGTGGACAGACCATGAGGGTAAAAACCATATGTGCTGGCCCGCTATCTGGTGGCCCTTAGGTAGTCTAATAAAAAATAAAATGCGCAGCATGACCAAAAACAATCTAACCATAACATTAACCTAGTGCCCAACAATCAATGATGCATAGCTGAAGTAATAGGATCTGGTGGGCTATGCAGGCTCTCTGGTGAGCTATGCAGGCTCTCAGGTGAGCTGTGCTGTGCAGGGTCTCAAGATGCAGTGTGAGGTCTTAGGTGGGCTGTGCGGGGTCTCAGGTTGGCTGTGCGGGGTCTCAGGTGGGCTGTGCAGGGTTCTCAGGTGGGTTGTGTGGGGTCTGAGGTGGCTGTGCAGCATCTCAAGAGGGCTGTGCGGGGTCTCAGGAGGCTGTGTGGACTCTCAGGAGGGCTGTGCGGGCTCTTAGCTGGGCTGTGTGGGGTCTCAGGAGGCTGTGCGGGCTCTAAGGTGGGCTGTGCAGGGTCTTAAAATGGGTCTTGTGGGCGGTGAGGGTGGCGGGGTTCCACAGGATGGAGGAGATGTGCGGCCGGCACTTTAAGCAGCACTGTGAGAACCCCAGAAGGCTGCCGTGTGGTCCCCAAAAAGAGCAGGAGCTTACGACAGCCGCTTGTGTTTAAAAATTTAAAGTGCCGGTTTCATCGCATTTTCATGAGTGCGAGTACTTGTGAAAATGCCCAGTATCGGCACTGATACAGGTAATGGCAGGTGAGGCGTTTTTTGCCACCCCCATTGAAAGTGCCGCCCAAGGCAAATGCCTTGTTTGCCTTGCGGCAGATATGCCCCTGACTGGAACAGTTATAGGAAGTAAAACATTTACTGTTGTCAGTGCTGTAGAAGGTGAGGAGAAATCTTTCAAAAGGGATGCCTGACAACTGTCTAAGGGGAATTTTTTCTCTCTTCTTGTTTCTGTGACAGAAATGAGGGCAATTGGACACAAATAGCAAAATAAAAAGGATTATTTTTAAAACCAATACCTAAAAACGTTTTAGCAATCACATATCCAGATACCATTGGTAGTAAATGACAGCACATTTGTTCATATTTGTCCATTTTCTCTTTTTTTTTTGTGTTGGACTTGGCTGATCCCTGCTTTGTTCTTTCCAGATTATATAATTTCAGACCATGTTCTATTTTCTAATATAGAAGAATAAAGGAGTCACAAATGCATCCACTGATGTATAGGCCCCCCCTAATGGAGCTTGAATCAGAAAACCATTTGTCAGTGGATGACAAGACACTTTGGATTGATATCTCTCCTTACCAGTGAACATAGTGAGCTCTCAGAGTTGGATGGATTATCCTAAATTGATAGGAAAGTTACTATGAGTTTAGTAGTCTCACAGAGGTGAGAGGTTGCACAGACAGTAATGCCGAAGATGGAAAAGGATGAGAGTTTGTAGAAACAAAGTCACAAACAACCCACCTATAATTTGATCCCCTTAAGGGGTAAAGTGACTCTTATAGAAAATAAGTATGTTACTAGGTATTGTGACCATAGCTACAGCAGGTCTCTATGTTCATCTCTGTGTATTGTAGAAAGGAGTACATATTTGCACACGCTGTGGATATATCCAAGCAGCTTTGAAAAGTCTGTGTGTCTAGAATATTCATAACGCATAGCTGTCATATACATAGCTTTCTGTAATTTGTATCCCACAGACTGGCTATTTGGATTGTTTAGCTAAGAACAAACAAAATTGAGAAAGAAGTTGAATATCCTGCGATTCCAATCCTCACCAGGATTTTTTTTTTCTTACTGTAAGCAGTTTGTGTGGAAGGGATCTGTTGGGGGGAAAAAATCCCAAAATATAAATAGTTTTTAGCCTTTAAATAACTTGTAGGAGGAAAATTCTAGCTTACACTACCAGAAAAATAAAATTGCACACTACAATGTAGCATGCATGTTGATAGGTAAACAGAGCCACAGACAGGCAAAAGAACAAAATATAGATACAGTATCTACCGGTCTTTCATCAGCATTGCCTATTGTTCATCTTGGCCGAAAATGCACTACTTTGG